AAGCGAAACTACTTTGTTTGGTCTTCCAAAAGAGGACGATATCTGCTTCATCATGCCTAGAGCTGATCTGTGCTGGTCGCTGAGGGAATACTTCAATTTAGTGCTGTGGATCGCCAGCATATTTTATGGAGGACAGTTTACTGATCCTGGGGGAGTAACGTTAGACTAAAATGCTGGCAGTTCTGACTCACATAAGTACGTTTTCTTTTATCATTTGCCACTGATGATTCAAACGCGAGTTTTGGGCAGTGTGGAGTAGCACTTGTTGTTTGTCATTTCTCTGATCACAAATGCAGACAGGGTTTTATGTTTACGTGGCGCGATGCGATGCAATGCAATGCAACGTGTAAAAAGACAGTATAAGTCATTATAATCAGTAATTATGTCCCCACTGGATGCAACAAATGCCTCGTTTGTAATGGGTTTTAATGCTTTTGTGTCGTCGCTCTGGCTGGGACACACCATCATAGTATGGTGAGGGGCGTAACATTTCCTTCTCACGCTTGAGGTATTCGGCCAATCACAACGCACTGGATAGCTGGCCAATCACAGCACACCTCGCTTTTTCAGACCGATGAGCTTTGTAAAAATCGACGCGTTTCAAAAAGGCGGGGCATAGAGGAGAAACAATAATGTACAGTATGTGGAAAATTTACTTTAAACCGCATAAACACATTTCATTACACCAAATACACAGAACAGAACATCCTCCAAAAAAAGATATTTATGAATCTTAACCTGCCAGGATGGTCTCAAAAATACCACACACAAATTCAAAGCAGTCCACGCATGTGTGATGATTTGCAAATGCAGATTCAACGATCCATAAATACATGTAACATCATTCATAAATGTGTGATGGAAATTAATTCAAGAACTTGATATATACATATTTGTGTAAACATTTTAAATTTATTTAGGTAAGATGCTTTTGTGTGAGCATTTGGGGAAATATTTATGCTTTTACTTCTGTATTTATAAATTGTGTTTTGAATTTACGAATCGGATTTTGTAAATGTAAATTGTGCTGTGCATTTATGAATTTTGTTTTATAAATGTAATATTTTTGAGGCTGATCTGGCTCCATATGTTTCCAGTATGTTTTTTATTTGTAACAATTGTTTTATTTGTAACATTTATTTGTAATAATCAGCTATTAATGTAACGTTAACTAACATTTATTAAAGTAACTATCGGGTCTCAGTTTAATGAGTCAACTGACTTAAGAACAAGACTGGTTTTGTGAACCAGTTTGACAGATTCATTAAATAGATCCGACTACAGAAGGAATTTGTTCAAGATTCACACCTAGCTGCCTTGGCGGCCAGAAGAAGACATACTGTAAATGTAACACAGTACCTGGCGGTGCTAAGCAGAGGGTGTTTTGTTCCCACCAGCTTCCTGACATGCATGGCCACATTGCTGAGCTCGTCACTGAGTAAACAGCGTAAACTCATGAATGAAGTTGGATATCCTACGATCTTCTCAGCATCAGACACCACTTTAGTCCAGTTAGATGGAGATGGGTTGGAAAAAATACTCAAGATTCACACCTAGCTGCCTTAGCGGCCAGAAGAAGACATACTGTAAATGTAACAGTACCTGGCGGTGCTAAGCAGAGGGTGTTTTGTTCCCACCAGCTTCCTGACATGCATGGCCACATTGCTGAGCTCGTCACTGAGTAAACAGCGTAAACTCATGAATGAAGTTGGATATCCTACGATCTTCTCAGCATCAGACACCACTTTAGTCCAGTTAGATGGAGATGGGTTGGAAAAAATACTTAGATGCCTCCATCCAATGTAAGAAAGCCGTGACCTCCAAGCCATTTTAAAAACAAAAACAGAAAATAATAGCCCAGTTATTTAAATGTATGAATGTTCAATGGTACTTTCAGATTGAAGCTCACATCAGATATCTGACACGCTCTTTTAATAGTGTCAAATCCAGCAGCCTCTGTCCTCCCAATGTCACCTCCTTAGGGAAGAAAACATTCTCTTCTTTTACACAGAAGTCGCCTCCACTGAACGAGCGATGGTCCTTAGTTAATGCAAGTACATTAGTTCAAACCGATAGTCCGTGCAGGTTTCTGAGTGTCCAGTTGTACAACATTAAACTCTCACGTTTTGACAGCTGCACCGGGTCGCCATCTTTTACGAATCAGTTTACGGCTTGTCGTAAAGACTGCTCGGTTAACCCCTTCGTCACCAAAACCCAATTAAACAAACTGAAGGAAATGTGAAAAACAGTCTGTTTTAATATTCCTAAATACATTTATTTAATTTTATTAGTCGACTGGAACAGCAGATTTTTGTTCTCACCACAAACACAGGTTTTTTTTTCTTGACACAGTCACAGTCAACTTTTCCAAGCTGGTATCTGCCAAATTTGGTTTGTGTGACAAAAATGTGCATCAAAATACTTTAATTACACTCACAGTCTTTGATAAATGGAAATTATGCCTTTTCTCCTGCCTTTTAAAGGTTGATAAGCCATCCTAAATATGTGTGATTACATGGTTAGTTGGATTTTAGGATTTGCATTTACCATTGTTTCTAGTTTGTTGTGTACGACCCTATTAGAACAGACATGCGACCCATTTTTGGGTTGTGACCCCCCGTTTGAGAAACACTACTCTGTATTGCATGTCGTAGTGTGATTATTCTGGATTTGTGATAATCCCCATATGAGATCACGCCAGTCAAATGAATCCCATGGGATAACAATGTTGACTTCAGCTGTATCAACTGTTAAAAGGAGAGAATTTCACTTAAGCGCAAGAACCTTAATGATGTCCAAAGTTACTTTTTACACAGTCTGAATTGTGTAATTGATGGATAATGTTCTTATTTTGACACTGTGGCCTTTGTTGGGAAATTCACATTTTCAAACCTATCACAGATGGTGACACTGTTGTTGGCCACAATGTTACCACCCAGACAGAAGTTACTTTTCAGGGTTACTGTGTTTGAACCAGAAAGGAGTTGACACATTTCACATTTCATTTTGAAAACGTTTTTATGATTATCTACTTTACTTCAACTGAACTCAATAGTGGGCTTGCATGAGGTTAACATGTTAAGACCATTGGCCCAGTTCAGTCTGTTAAACTGATGTCTTGGGTCAAACTAGTAAATTTGTACTATCCTATTTGACTCTATTGCAGTGCATCTTTCATTACATCTCTTGAGACTGATCAAGATTCTGGAAACACGTGCACCGGAAAAAAAAGCCCCGTAATAATACAGTTAATAATTTTAACAGTAAAAGATTTACTGGAATGGTAAGGTAAAAAAACTGTTAATTTGTTAACAATAAGTTTTCTTACTAATATATGGTGAAAAACTGTAATAAATCAAAAAGGACATTTTGTGTAATTTTACAAACTTTTAGAAGTGAAAAAGAAACATGTCATCTTATTTTTAACTGAAAACCCGTAAATTGACATTGCCAGAAATCCCTTCATATTTGTTGGTTTTTAAATTACATCTTGTTAAATTATTGTTTATTGCATTATTTTAGTGCCATGAGTGTTACCATGATATTGTTTTGTAATTGTCCAAATAAAATCGGTAAGACCTAAAATGTTACTACTATATACATTTGACAGTAAAGTAAATCAGTAATATATTTTATCTGTATTAACAATGTATTTGTGGCCTTTTTTAACCTGAGATTAAGAGTATAAGTTTTTAAAATCATGGATTGCTCATTACAAGGATTAAACTGGCAATTTTTGTTAATCATAATGCCACACCACCCCATTCTGTAGACATGGAAAGAAGCTATAGGTTTGAGAATAATGAGGGAGAAACAAACTGTTGATTTCACATTCACACATGCTGCTGTGGGCACAGAGAGAGAGACTGACAGAAAGGGGAAAATCAAGGGCCACTCTGCTCTCCTCTCTCTTTGAAATTCAATAAATTCGACCTTCTATTTAAGACTGGGTTGCATTACTTTAATCAACAACACATGGCACATGAATCTCAGATTCCCCACTCACCTATTTTACAGTGAACTGTCTCAGAAGTTATTTACCAAAAGTCTATACAAAAGTCATCATCACAGATATAATGGTTTTTTACAGTGTAGGCATACATCTCATCTCTTACTTGTAACACATTTGTTTTGCCCCTGTAAAGTCTTTGTCTGTCACTCACACACACACACACCTTCAGAGTGGGTTTTAATTACCTGCCGATATCTGTCTCATAAACACTAACACCCATTATGATAATTCCACCCATTCAAAGATGTTTAATTAAAAGGAAATGATTAGGACCCCTTGGCTGTTTTATTTCCATTAACTGTCTTGTATGTCAATATCAAGCACCCCCTGCGGAGCGCTGATAACGCGCGCGGGGTGAACGATAACGCATCAGACAACGGCACCTATTCACTCCTATCGCGCGACAACCTCCGCCACGCGTGGAGTCCTGAGTGAAAACCGATCTGTGGAAAATTGGGGAGGAAATAGCCTTCCCGGGATCAGCGTGGCCGTATAGAATTACGGTGGAGGCCCCTCCCCCTGTCTGGCTCGCTCTTTTTTCTCAACCTCTCGGTTGGCTTTCCGAGAGGGCTTGATCCTGCTCACGCTCAGAGCGCTGAGAAATAGCAGGCAGAAGATGGCTGACTCTACCGGGCACGGTGAGCCCGCAGCAGCATCAACTTCACTGGGGCTTCTCATGTGCCTGCCATTCGCTGCCACTCCGCAACTCTGAAACGGCCCCGCCTCGCTCCGTGCCGTGCGCCCGCGGGGTTTTACCCCCAAATATTGACAGAGATTTAAAGAAAACATGGCTGAGATGGAGAAAGAGGGAAGACCTCCGGAAAACAAGAGGAGCAGAAAGACAGCTCACCCCGTGAAGAGGGAAATTAACGCAGAGATGAAGGTAGGTTGTGCGTGCGCTCTCTCTCTCACTGGCGCCCATAAAGGCTTGTCATTTTTGGATGCGTTGAGCGCACCGCCGCTCCGCCCTCGGATTGAATATAGAGAACCGATTCATTCAAGCGCTGTGTGTTTGGGGTTAATCAGCTAACTTTGATTTTTTTTTCTTTTCTGGGTTGCAGAACAGGTCGGCATTATTTTCCTCCCGTTTCTTTTTTGAGCTTAATTCACACACCTTCCAAACCACTCTAGTCTTGCTTTCCATTGCTTGCGATGATCTATTTTGTTTATATTGCATTATGGATTTTCTTTAAACACATTTGCATGTGCTTTTCTATGTCATGTGCGCGTAAAGTATAAAATGTCCACAGTCACATCACGAGAAGGTTTAGAATGAAATCCCCTTGCTGGCTCCACTGTAGTTGATGGAAAATCCAGTGCGTCAGACTCCGCGTCAAACTGCTGCGTTACTACTACTACTAGCGCGTTACTATCACTCTGCTAAACAACACCAAAGCATGAGAACAGAGTATAACTCAATAATGAAATAGAAAACATGTTGGAAGGGTGCAGCTGTTCTGATGGGAAGCGCTGGTCACTCCAGATGTTCATCTGTTCAACACTGACTGAGCTCTGTCTGCTCGTGACAAATGCACATTTAAAAAGCCTTTTGGGGTATTTGGTATATGCAATCATAGCTTGGTTCATTCAAGAACTTGGAGATTCTTTCACTTTTTTGTTCTGTTTGAGCAGAGCCGTGCGTTAGTATGTTTTGAAGGCGCACACAGGCGCTTTGTCTCCTGGTTTTGTGGTGCTCATTGTCTGAAGCGTTTGCATCAGCTGCCATGCAGCCTAATGTTTTGGAAACGCCAGAATTTATCTGTGCTCTTTATCTGATCAAGCTACATTCATTCTGAAAGCACCATCGTGGTATACAGGGACGCATTTAATTAGTGTTAGTAATAATTTGATAACGTGTTTCGGTCACTGTAAACGCGTGTGTGGCTTTGGTGAATTTGCTCCGTTCGCTTTCTTTCTTGTCGGTGATTATTTGACGGAACCTGCGCGAGGCTCTCCGGTCCGCCGGGGCTCTAAATTGGACAGATATTGATCGACCTGTAGCGGAGATACACGCGTGCGTCTCCCCGGTCTCCTTAAACGCCACCGATCTTTCCGTTTGACTCACTCACACACACACACACACACACATACAAGAGAGGGATGCAATGCTGCCCTTAGAAACTGACTTATTCTGGAGCTGTTACGCGTGAGATGTGAATTATTGGGGGTTTGAGGGGCCAGAAACCTCTTAATTAGTCAGTCATTGTTTAAAAATAATGTGTCAGTTGTTATGTTAGTTATGTTTAGAATTATTTATTTACGAGTATTAAACATTTTTGAATTATGAATCTTGAAGTTTCATTCAGATTTGACTTCATCTAACCTTGCATTTTCATTAAAAAAATCATCAGGGTCTATAGACTATAGAGGTCCTCACTGTGATATCATTTCCTGTTTATGTAAAATGAGAACAAAACAGCTGCATGCATGTTGGTTACATCACTGACTTTGACTTGGCTTACAATTTTTTTTAATTAATACTTAATTCAAATAAAATGACTACTGTTTTTATAAAAAATAATTTAAAAAGAATGAAAAATTAGTTTCAAGAATGTCAGCCTTTTAATGACACCTTTTTCTTTTTTGCAGTCTCCTGATCATTACACCACTTAGATGTTTTTGAATATCAAATTTTAATTTTAATTTGAAAAACATTTTCATCATCATCATCAAGTTATTTATTATCTGTGTGAATATTACTTGCAAATGTAATTAATTGTAAAAAATGTAAAATGTAATAGATTTGGACAAAAAGAAAAAAAAAAACGTTGGTCCGTGAATAAGATTTATTTTTATTTTATTAAAAAAATTTTTTTTTTGAGTGTTGAGGAGGTTTG